AAACTTGTTTGTCTGAGTGATTGGCCGAACAAGAAATAGGACTGAGTGGATTTGTAGGGTCTAAAGTTTTACATTGTTTTGTTTTTGAATGCAGTTATGCTTTGTACGCAATTCTACATTTGTAAGTCAACTACTGTACTTGTATCAGGTGAATTGAAAAATACTATTTCTTTTGTTTTTTTACAGTGCAAATATTTGTAATAAAAATAAATATAAAGTGAGCACCGTACACTTCGTATTCTGTGTTGTAATTGAAATCAATATATTTGAAAATGTAGAAAACATACAAAAATAAGTAAATAAATGGTACTCTTATTGTTTAACAGCACGATTAATCACGATTAATTTTTTTTAATTGCTTCACAGTCCAAAAAAACCCAACAACTACCATTCATAGCGGAGTGTCCCTGAAGTAGGGGACTCATAAAATGGGGCAGAGTCAAGAAAGGAAGCAAAGAAGGGGTCGTTGTCTTGGCAATATGTTTTCCTTGATGTGGGAACAAGATAAAGAATAAAAGCAAGATGCATAATGTGAAAGTTTGTAGAACTACAGACAGATGCAATAAAACCCCAAAAGACTAGAGCTCAACAGCCTTTGTTAAATGTGTCAGATTTGTCACCCGGCAAGACTGAGGGTGAGGCATATTAAGATAAAACCCTCAAGGAAGGTGGAGAGGCAACATCCATCAAGAGGCTGGAAGGCGAAGCATATAGTGGAGTGGTTTTTGAATGTCACTGGCTACAAAGAATGAATACCTGAAGTTTATTATTTAGTAGGTTTTTAGCTGATTAAATTTAGAAAAAGCAACAGAGGGTCCTGTGGAGTCTGATGAAGTGGGCATTCACCCACGAAAGCTTATGCTCCAATACTTCTGTTAGTCTTAAAGGTGCCACAGGACCCTCTATTGCTTTTTACAGATTCAGACTAACACGGCTACCCCTCTGATACTTGACACCATACATTTAGAAAGCTCATTCTCTATCACTTATGGTTTTATAGGTAGTCATTTCCATTACAAAGCAGCATATTGCTAGATAAAGATGTCAAGGCTCAGTTACAGACAGTGCTCCTAAGTTTATCCTTTGCATGTAGCAATTCTGTATTACTGTTTAAACGTCATGATTTTCATCGCTTTTTGGGAATACATAAACATCTAACTTTTCTGTGATGATCACAGACTCTCTTAGGCTTTTTAGCGTATTCCAAGCTGCCAACATTAGGTATATTCAAACCCCCTACAATCCAGCATATGTATTCACTCCTCCCACCTTTCACTAACCCAGCTGAATTTAATGGACGTCTCCTGAATGTTTCATTTCATGTAAATACTGCCAAACTAGTCTTGTGACGAATCATGACTATGCCAGTTCTCCTGCAAGTAATTTTCC